ATGGGCATGGATCAGAAAAGCTGGTGTGACCACCATTTGCCTCATGCAGCGTGACACATCTCCTTCCCATAGAGTTGATCAGGCTGTTGATTGTGGCCTGTGGAATGTTGTACCACTCCTCTTCAATGGCTGTGCAAAGTTGCTGGATATTGGCGGGAACTGGAACACGCTTTCGTACACGTCGATCCAGAGCATCCCGAACATGCTCAATGTCTGGTGAGTATGCAGACGATGGAAGAACTGGGACATTTTCAGCTTCCAGGAATTGTGTACAGATCCTTGCAACATGGGGCCATGAATTATCATGCTGATACTTGAGGTGATGGTGGCGGATGAATGGCACGACAATGGGCCTCAGGATCTCTGTGCATTCAAATTGCCATCGATAAAATGCAATTGTGTTCATTGTCCGTAGCTTATGCCTGCCCATACCATAACCCCACCACCACCATGGGGCACTCTGTTCGCAACGTTGACATCAGCAAACCGCTCGCCCACACAACACCATACACGCTGTCTGCCATCTACCGGTAAAGTTTAAACTGGGATTCATCCGTGATGAGCACACTTCTCCAGCGTGCCAGTGGCCATCGAAGCTGTGCATTTGCCCAATGAAGCCTGTTACGACGCCGAACTGCGGTCAGGTCAAGACCCTAATGAGGACGACGAGCACGCAGATGAGCTTCCCTGAGACGGTTTCTGAATTATTCGGTTGTGCAAACCCACAGTTTCATCAGCTGTCCGTGTGGCTTGTCTCAGACCATCCCGCAGCTGAAGAAGCTGGCTGTGGAGGTCCTGGGCTGGCGTGGATACATGTGGTCTGCGGTTTTGAGGCCAGTTGGACGTACTGCCAAATTCTCTAAAACGACATTGGGCTTATGGTAGAGAAATTAACATTCAATTCTCTGGCAACAGCTCTGGTGCACATTCCTGCAGTCAGCATGCCAATTGCACGCTCCCTCAAAACTTGAGACATCTGTGGCATTGTGTTGTGTTACAAAACTGCACATTTTAGAGTGGCTTTTTATTGTCCCCAGCACAAGGTTTGATGTGTAATGATCATGCTGTTTAATCAGCTTCTTGATATGCCACACCTGTCAGGTGGATGGATTATCTTGGCAAAGGAGAAATGCTCACTAACAGGGATGTAAACAAATTTGTGCACCAAATTTGAGAGAAATAAGCTTTTTGTGCATATGGAAAATTTCTGGGATCTTTTATTTCAGCTCATGAAAAATGGGACCAACACTTTACATGTTGCATTTAACATTTTTGCTCAGTATACTTTGCATAGCCGTGCTCCACTTTCAGTATATTGAACTAGGAAGTTAGTCAGCCCTGTCTGTAGTCTCTCTGGTACAGTTTTCTTTACCATAATACAGTTTCCTAGGAAACGCTTGATAGTTCTGTCCATGTTTTGGATGACCTCCTGGATGTCTCTCTGTGGTGACAGACTGGATCAGGGCAGAGGACCATGGGAAGGGGTGTGGCCAGAGGGAGTGGGGAAGGCCCCTCCCACTTCACCTGCCCCATGGATCCCCATGGTAACTCCTGGAAACCAACAATACTGTTTAAGGACTTGTCAACATTTCTAATGAAAGAACTTGTGTCAGTGACTATATATAGCTGTATTTATTAACACATCTATTTATACACAAATATGTCTCCTTCTGTATTTTATGCAGCCTAATATTGATTACTTTAGGCTTCGTTTACAGACAGCCATCTTTTGACCAATCAGATCTTTACCAGCAGATCTTTTTCAGACCTGATCTGATTGGTCAAAATACCAGTTAGTAAAACAATATCAGAATTGGGCTGCCTGTGTAAACATAGCCTTTGAGTTCTCTTGTGTTCTTTTTCCCTGCTTTCCTTGCAGTTCCCTTTCTTTTCATTGTGTCATCGTGCCCCCTGGTGGATTCTCTTGTTAATGACGCCTACTGTACAGTCACTGATACAAAGCCAATAGAACAACCTGTACATAAGCAGAACATTGAAAACTGTAACCTTTTACAGTGTTAGTAAGACTGTCATTATTAATATTTACTGTTATCATTCCTGTTGTGTATTATTGTTGTTTTACAATTATTTTTAGTTACTTTCTATTCTACAATTATTTACAATTTGCCTATTTAATTTGAAAGTATATATTTTGGTTTAGATTGCACTATCAAGTGTTGGCTTGTTAGCCCATAAAACCAATGATGCTGATACAAGGAACTGTCTGAGAGGTCATTCAATCAAAGGTCAAAGTTCAGTAGTTATCTGTCTGGCCAAGTTGCAAAATCAGAAGGCCCGCCAAGTTCTAAAATGTATCTTCTTAAAATCAGATTTTAAACCTAGCCCTAACCTTAACCTCACTGCTAACCTTATACCTAACCCTAACCTTAAATCAAGACAAAAAAGTGAATGTTTATTTTCATAAATGTTTCCAATGTAGACAATTTTGACTGACTTTGCAGCTTGGTCATCAAGTGGGAACCGCATAATGGAGCATCTCAATCTGCTCTCATCATGTATGGTCCTCTGATGATGTCCTCATCCATATAAGACAGAACCAGAGTAGTGGAAGAGATGGGAGTCTGTCTCCCACGGTGGAAGATGGGTCATTTGTTGATAGTATATTTTTTCTTAGGACTGATGCAGCCTGATACGATTGTCTTTTTACCAAATAATTGACATAATATTACGTACAATTCCACGCTAGCATTCTCTTTCATTAGGTCTAAATACCTGTAATTTGATTGTTTAACATGTCAAGTTACTGAATGACAACATACATTTACAGTTGCTGTTAACGTTGAGCGGGGGGAATAGAAATAAGGTGAAATCATGGGAAATGTGATGCATTATCTATTTATTTATATTATAAATGGGAAATTCAGTATAAGGATTGTATGATAACTGTCAACAAAACATCCCTTTACAGCAGCAGCACTGACGACAGTCATTTGATTAGTTTTGGTTCAAATCATTTTGTCTTGACAGTTGGGAACTTTCCTAAAGCCGTCTATGCAAACTTTGCATTCTTTATAAACAAAATGTAGGTACTGCTAGCCGTTGCATTCCATCGTTCTCCTAAGGCTTCATGGGTAATATTGTATAGTGAGAACGTAGCTAATTCTGTTCTGGCACTCATGTTACTTGCAAATGCTTACATTTCCTCTGTCAAGTTCCTGTACAAAGTGTAAGAAATAATTTTAAAAACTAATAATAAATTATATTTATATGCAACACTGAATGCAGAGTCCGACTCTCCTTTTCCACATCCTGGTTCAACCCTAACACTAGCCTCTACCACAGCGTTTCCTGAACTCGGTCCTCGGGACCCCAAGGGTGGGTCATTTCTTCTTCCCCTAACTACACAGCTGATTCAAATGATCAAAGATGCTTGATGATTAGTTGATTATTTGAATCAGCTGTGTAGTGCTATAGCAAAAACCAAAACGTGTACCCCTTGGGGTCCCGAGGACCGAGTTTGGGAGACCCTGCTCTACCATAACCCTAACCCTAGCAAGGTGTAGGATTTCCTCAAGGATTACTGTAGGATATTTCTGCAGTTTTCCTGTGTGTGTGTGTGTGAGAGAGAGAAATCATCTAAAAAAGAGACGATATGGACATTGACAGCATTTTATTAGGGAATGTTCTCCTGGTCCACACACTCTCTTATACACATATGTACAGATTAAATAAGGCATACGCCATAGTGGTGGAGTGGTCGGCCGGGGAGTTATTCTGTACACAAGACAAAGGCAAACAACCAAAACACATATTTAACATTATTATTAAGTCCATCAGTATCAATACATTTCAACATTATTATTTACAATTCAATTCTGTGAGGGGAGATTTTTTTTGTTATATTACAGTAGCAAGGCAATCATGGGGGAGACCATATTATTGGCATGACTCAGCTAGCCTGAGTAACATCACTCCCAAGCTGATTAACCATCATTTAGCCAGAGTAACATCACTCCCGAGCTGATTAACCATCATTTAGCCAGAGTAACATCACTCCCAAGCTTATTAACCATCAGCTAGCCTGAGTAACATCACTCCCAATCTTACTAACCATCAGCTAGCCTGAGTGTCATCCCTCCCAAGCGTATGAACCATCAGCTAGCCTGAGTAACATCACTCCCAATCTTACTAACCATCAGCTAGCCAGAGTAACATCACTCCCGAGCTTATTAACCATCAGATGTATCATAATCTTGTCCTATAGTTAGTCGTTGATACAGAGACATATCAGGGGACTAAGAATGGCTCCCTTGGATCGCCAAAGGGCCCAAATGTAGCTCAATGTTGAAGCTGTGTGTTTTCCTGTATGAATAGAATAAACAAATGCCTGGGTTTCTAAGGCAGTAACGCTGCAAGAGAGATATACTTCACTTCCAACAGTATGTAGAGATTTCTCTACAGTTGTAAAAAAATACAAATAAATAGGTCCAGTTGCTAAAGCACAATGGGCAAAAACGGCAACACTTTATTTGAACTAGCCTCATAACCCTACATAACAATGTTGTAAACATGTCAAAGCTTCATGAACATTCTGACATTGGTTTGAAGGGGATTTATGGTGGCTAGTTCAAATAAAGTGTTACCACAAAACAAACAATACTGTTATATGGCTTTAGATGGACAGAGCAGGAACCCCCCCCCCCCCCCCTCCACTGTGAGGGAGGGAGTGACTCCTCCTCTCCTGCAGAGGGCACTGTCTGTCCTTGTGTTCCCCCCTCATTTAGAAAGCCAATCAGCTTTCACAGAAAGCAACACCAGACCAGCACAGACCAGACCAGACCCTGCCCACTGATCCTCTCTATATCCCAGGGGTGGCAGTGGCATGGGCAAAAAGAGAACAGACCCTGACCATGGGAAAACATCTCTCCCTCTCTTTCTCTCTCCCACTCGCCTTGCCCTCCTCCTATGGTCCTGGCATAGTGGCACTAGGCCATGGACATGTATCTAGGTGTTGAGTGTCTCTAGGTGGCAGCAGCGTGTCACTGTTTGATATCCTGAGTCTCAGACATCTTGGCCAGGGTCTTCTTCACTCTGAGAGCTGTGAGGCGAGACGCTGGGTTGTGGGCCCAGCACTCCGTCATCAGCTTCCCCATCTGTCTGAGACACTAAACACACCGAGGTCAGAAATCAACATACTGTACACTCACACACAGTAGCCTATGTAAGAGTATACTGATCTCAAGCATACAACACATAAAAACGGAATCACAAAGAGGGTGTTTCCTCACCTCATCACTGCTCCAGCGGTTGGCGAAGGAGGGCCTCTGTCTCTTGATGCACACAACCTCCCTCATGTCCTCATAGGAGGGGTCAGAGGACACCAGGTCATGGTAGGGCAGCTGGTACTCCTCTACGATGCCTACAGGACACAAGTCACAAGGAGAGAGATGTTAGATCTCTACATACTGCATCATCACAGCTGAGATGGAGGTAAGATAATACACAGCCTGGAAGGGGGTCAAATAACTGAACAGTATAAAAAAAAATAACTTATCATAACATTGAATAAGAAAAAATAGAATTTGGATCAGCATTTTGGCAAATGTCTGAATGCACATAAGGTCAAAGGTCACATCAGCTCACTTTACATATACAAATTATATTAAGACATTGTAAAGCAGAGCATTGTGGGCCGTGTCTGACCTCCAGAGACGCAGCGCCGGGCGATCTCCCAGAGGATTAGGCCGAAGCTGTACATGTCGGCCATGATGTAGGACTGGAAGTGGTTCCGGTTCAGATTCTCGTCTAGGACCTCTGGGGGCATGTAGCGCTTAGTGCCCACCCTCGTGTTGGGAGGGATGTCCACCTCATTGGTGTCACTGAGAGAGGGTGGTGTATGGGGAGAAAGACCATATCTTTTCATCAACATGGCACTTTTAAAGCAACACCGTCTTTGTATAAACGTGTATTGCTGGACTGATTCCATAGTTTGGACTAATGCAAATGCTGAAAAGTATACAAAGATAACAGAGAAGAACGATTCTGCTCTATAAAGATGTTTTGCTATCTCTACATTCATGATCGGATGTATGGCACATGTCCCTTCCTGTCTTACCTGATGAATTTGACAGCCAGGCCCAGGTCAGCGATGCAGCAGGCCCCATTCCTCTTCACCAGGATGTTCTTGCTCTTCAGGTCTCTGTGGGCGATGGCTGGTTTACCCTGGGTGCCAAAGATCTCTGTGTGGAGGTGGCAGAGGCCTGACACTGAGGAGTAGGCCAGCCGCAGCATGGCCTTGATGTCCAGGGTGGTGGACTTGAGGTAGTCATACAGAGATCCACTCTCATGGTAGTCTGTGATCAGGTAGAGCTGGGTCCACGACCCTGTGCCCTTTATGTCCGCCGCTATGAAGCCTGGGTAGGGAGGAGATTGGGAGATCTTTGAGGAGATACAAAGACACACACATACAGAGATGCATGCACGCAAGGATGCACACACACACTCACTCACGCACAATACACGCACACACACACTCAATCTCTCCCTCTCTCCTTACCCAGTATGTTCTCGTGTCTCATGAGGACAGTTTGGTAGATCTCGGTCTCTCTGAACCAGCTGGCCTCCTCGGTGGTGAAGAACACTTTGACAGCCACTCTCTCTCCTCTCCAGCGACCCATCCACACCTCCCCATAGCGGCCCTTACCTATCTGCTTCACCATCTGAATCTGCTTGGCTATGGTGCGCTGCACCTGAGCACAGGAAAACACACACACCGATATCAATATCAAAATCATCGTCATCAACACTGTCATATGCTATATCATTGTACATCATTATCACAATTTCTAGTCAAAGTCAACATAACTAGCACATTGAGAGAGTAAGGTCTTTCTACAACACTGTATTGCTGGACTGTTTCTCCATTGCAAGTAAGCATTTTGTTGGACAGTGTATACCATGTGTATCTTGTACATACGACTAATAAAACGTGAAACCTGGTTGCTAATGTGTGTGTGATGAGGTTCAGGTCTCACCAGCAGTGGGAGTCCTGATCCTGAGCCAGAGCTCTGGGACTGTTCTATCAGGTCCTTCAGAGATTCTCCAGGAGGGATATAAGTCTCATCCTGCTCCAGACCAATACTGTAGCGAGAACGCGACTCCTGGCGCTTATACCTGGAAGACACAGTGGTAAAGTCCTCAGTAATACAAAGCTACAATTCTGCTAAAAGCATTACATTGGTCTATGTTACCAATCTCCTCAGTGTGTGTCTGAGTCCATGTGTGTTTTCTCACCTGAAGTAACAGAAGACGATGACGAGTACCAGGATGATGCAGCACACTGTGACAGAGATGAAGAGAGCCATGGGGTGGATACTGCTGTCCACGTAATCTACAGGGGGGGGGGGAAGGAGAGAGAGATGAGAGAGAGAGAGAGCGAGAGATAGGAGAGAGAGAGAGAGAGAGAGAAGGAGAGAGAGAGAGAGAGAGAGAGAGTTGTCAGTCACAGATCCAACCCAAACCTGGGTCAAGAGACACATCAAAGCAGCAGGAGAGAGAACGTGAGGATTACAGGTGAACTTCCAAACCTTCCCAAGTCTCAGAGAGAAGTTTCAGCTTTGCCCCTAACCTGGGGTAACCCCCCTCCGGTCTAAAACTTCCAAACCTCCAGTCTCAAGATTCTTGCCTCTCGACCCACCTCCCTCTTCTCTTGTTCCTATCTCCTCCCCCTCTCAGTGTGTGATCGATCACATCCCCTTCCTGAATCCCACAGATCCGGTGTCACACTGACATCGCCACGGCAAATCCTGAAGCCCAGTGCTGCTCTGGTGCCCCAGTCTTTCTGCCAGCCTTTCTGCCAGCCTCCTGTAAATCATTCACACACATACTGTACACATGACGGTAGGCACACACATGGAAATGATCTAATTTGACAATTTGCCACGTTTGACAAATCAATTTATCTTTGACTAATTTCCTTGATAGATGTAACACACACACCGTGTGTGTGCGAGTGTTGGTTTGTAGCTAGAGGAGTGACAGATGGACAGATATCTCACATCCGTGGCGGGGCAGGAAACTCAAGCAGGCCCTGGGGAGAGGCTGTCCTTTTCATTAGAGGGTGAGAGAACAAGCCAAGCCTGCCGGCTCCATTTCACCTCCATTTCCCCCGTCTCCCCCTGCCCCAGAGCGGCACACGCCACTCCAGCCAGCACTACATTGTGGTTTGTAACAGTTTAAACTGTCACTACCCATCACACCCCGGTGCAGGCTGAGGGAGCCCACTCTGAAAGCCACTCGCGCACAAGATGACAGAGTTTCAGTGTGTTGACTGGCTGGAATTCGCTGTGTGTGTGTGTGTGTGTGTGTCTTACCAGGGGACATCAGTGGTGGTAAAGTAGGATGCAGGTCTGTATTGCAGAAGTCCTGGTCTGTACAGCACTCCACAGCCCTCCTCCGATGGGGACTCCCATTGTCCTGTTGTGACACACCATAAACACACTGTTACATCTACACCACCAGGGTTTTTACAATGTTGCTTATTGATGGTGAAGAATCTGTGTTGTACACAAGGCTGGTCTGACACATTGCTTTCACTGTACATAAGGTCTGACTTTAAGAGATTCCTTGGAGAGCTGTAATGAGTCATAGAGGGTTCATAGAGGGTGACTGCCTGCACGTCATGGCTTTGCCATATACACCACACAAACACAGCAGACTTACCCTGCACTGGAACTCCAAGCCCATCAGCCCCAGACATCCAGAGGAGAGCACAGGGAGACTCCCCTCTTCTTCCTCCACCATGGTGAAGCAACAACCATCAGTCCTGAAGAGATACCATGATCATCATCACCATCATCATCATCATCATTACCACCATCACCATCATCACCATCACCACCACCACCACTAGCCTCATCATTACATCATCATCACAAGCCTCATCTTCATCATCACTACCACAAGCATCATCATCATCCATTGTCAACAATCTTTCAACATAATATGAGAGGATTTTATATCTTAGCTATTTTGTAATGACACATTTCATGGTGCTGAGCAGGTTATATCAACAATCTAAATCTAATGTAATAAACACTACTAGACGTGGTTGGATACATTTATATTTTACATTTAAATCTTAGTCATGTAGCAGACGCTCAAGTTGGGGTGTAGGGTTTGAACATAGCCTGAAGGTAGGGAGGGGCATTTCCTCTTGCTGCTCCGTAGGAAAGCACCATGGTTTTGTAGTGGATGCGAGCTTCGACTGGAAGCCAGTGGAGTGTGCAGAGGAGCGGGGTGACATGGGAAAACTTGGGAAGGTTGAAAACCAGGCGAGCTGCAGCGTTCTGGATAAGTTGCAGGGTTTTGATGGCACAAGCGGGGAGCCAAGCCAAAAGCGAGTTGCAGTAGTCCAGACGGGAGATGACAAATGCCTGAATTTGGACATGTGCCACTTCCTGTGTGAGGTAGGGTCGTACTCTATGGATGTTGTAGAGCATGAACCTGCAAGAGCAGGTCACTGCTTTGATGTTTGCAGAGAGCGACAGGGTGCTGTCCAGGGTCACGCCAATGTTCTTTGCACTCTGGGAGGGTGACACTGTGGAGTTGTAAACCATGATGGAGAGGTCTTTGAGCTGGCAGACCTTCCCCGGGAGGAAGAGCAGCTCCGTCTGGTCGAGGTTGAGCTTGAGGTGGTGGGCCGACATCCAAGCGGAGATATCTGCCAGGCACGCAGAGATGTGTGTCAGAAGGGGGGGAAGGAGAAAAGTATTTGAGTGTCATCCGCATAGCAATGATAGGAGAGACTATGTGAATAGAGAGAAGAGGAGAGGGCTTAGAACAAAGCCCTGGGGAAGAGGAGGATAATAATAATAATAATAATATGCCATTTAGCAGACGCTTTTATCCAAAGCGACTTACAGTCATGTGTGCATACATTTTTACGTATGGGTGGTCCCGGGGATCGAACCCACTACCCTGGCGGTACAAGCGCCATGCTCTACCAATTGAGCTACAGAGGACCACAGGATCTGATGGTTCACGGTGTCGAAGGCAGCGGATAGATCTAGGAGGATGAGAACAGAGGAGAGAGTCAGGTTTGGCAGAGCGGAGAGCCTCCGTGACACAGAGAAAAGCAGTCTCGGTTGAGTGACCCGTCTTGAAGACTGACTGGTTAGGGTCAAGAAGATCGTTCTGAGAGAGATAATGAGAGAGTTGGTCAGAGACAACACGCTCTTTTGGAAAGAAAAGAAAGAAGGGATACAGGTCTATATTTTTTGATGTCAGATGAGTCGAGTGTTGGTTTCTTGAGGAGGGGATGCCAGCTGTCAGGGATGAGTTGATGAGGGAAGTGAGGAATGAGAGAAGGTCTCTAGAGATGGTCTGGAGAAGGGAGGAGGGGATGGGGTCGAACGGGCAGGTTGTCGGGCGGCCAGACCTCACTAGTCGCAGGGCATAAATCAATCTGTAATAATGCTTGTATTTAAATAATATATCTTTGCTCTCTGAGTTAATATCTTTATTTGAGTTCCTGATAAATCCACCAGTGTATTTTTGTTCAGTTAATTGGTGTTCTACAGGATAATAACAGATTACCTCTGCTGTGTAATAATGAATGCAAGCTAATTGCACATTACAGATTAGATACAGCTGATTCTAAGACAGTTTGAAAACCACACACCAACCACAGTATCAACACAGTTCTATTTGTGTGTGTGCGTAATATACCTGCAGGTGTTGTTGGTAGAGTCTTCAGGACAGTGATGGTAACAGTGACACCAGAGTATCCTCTGTGCTGGAGCCGGGGCAGTACTTCCACCCTCCTTCCTACTGTCTGACCTGTCTCTTCCAGGGTTCCTCAGAAGCAGCATGGTATCCAACACATTGGCTACAGGGACACAGAGAGGAGACAGACCGGGATTAGACCCAGGACAGACCAGGCATAGGCCCAGGACAGACCAGACATAGACCCAGGACAGACCAGACATAGACCCAGGACAGACCAGACATAGACCCAGGACAGACCAGACATAGAGCCAGGACAGACCAGGCTTAGAGCCAGGACAGACCAGGCATAGACCCAGGACAGACCAGAAATAGACCCAGGACAGACCAGACATAGTCCCAGGACAGACCAGACATAGACCCAGGACAGACCAGACATAGTCCCAGGACAGACCAGGCTTAGAGCCAGGACAGACCAGACATAGACCCAGGACAGACCAGACATAGACCCAGGACAGACCAGACATAGAGCCAGGACAGACCAGACATAGACCCAGGACAGACCAGACATAGTCCCAGGACAGACCAGGCTTAGAGCCAGGACAGACCAGACATAGACCCAGGACAGACCAGACATAGACCCAGGACAGACCAGACATAGACCCAGGACAGACCAGACATAGACCCAGGACAGACCAGACATAGAGCCAGGACAGACCAGACTAGACCCAGGACAGACCAGACATAGACCCAGGACAGACCAGAACATAGACCCAGGACAGACCAGACATAGTCCCAGGACAGACCAGACATAGACCCAGGACAGACCAGACATAGACCCAGGACAGACCAGACATAGACCCAGGACAGACCAGACATAGACCCAGGACAGACCAGACATAGACCCAGGACAGACCAGACATAGTACCCAGGACAGACCAGGCTTAGAGCCAGGACAGACCAGACATAGACCCAGGACAGACCAAACATAGACCCAGGACAGACCAAACAAAGTTATATGGACACTGTCATTCAAACGGATGCACCAACCTTATAGTAAAACTTAAGTGCACACATAACTAAGGTAAATTAAAGTTAGAGTAAATCAATGCTACCAAATGTGACACTTTCTCCACTCTTCAACTCACTCTTTCCAGACAGGCTTGAAAAATCAAAACGCCTTGGCACTGTCGCCATAGCAACGTAGCCACAGAAACGGTGACAGTGTCTGGTGAAAGCTACCCTGCTGTTCTTTTTCTGGTCTCACCTCAATGCTACTGCCTGAGACTGGAACAGCAATGCCCTGCTAGGGCTGCACTTAGTACATATAGCAAGACTGGAGAACTCTCACAATAAATACCTTGTGCTCTGTGTGTGTGTGTGCGCGTGCGTGCATGCGTGAGTGTGAGTGCGTGTGTGTGTGCTCGCGAGTGAGTGTTTGTGTGTGTGGCGGTCTCATGAGAGCAGTTCTGTAAGGAGTGTATGGCATGTCGTTTCAGTATCCAAGGACAAATCTCTCACACTCCTTTTGGCAGAGCAGCTCAACGGAACCCTTGTGGCTACACGTTTGTTTACGATGTTATAGAGCCCTCAAAATAATACTTATACTTCACCATCAGTAGGAGCAGTATATCCTATACATTAATGAATACAACCCAAAACAACTCTAAAATGTCCTGTGAATATTTATACGGGTGTGAATATGTTGTTGGAGACCACCTTATTACGTTGGCATTTTATATTTACAATAGGGAATTTAAAACATGAACGATCTAAGTGAAGATTGTGTTGGTTTTTTATGATCATGTTTTGCAATTTAGTATTTTATTGTGTTTTGTATTGATGTGTGTGTTTGTATTGTGCAGGGCTCATTTGAAAAAGAGACTTGGTCTCAATATGACACCCTGTTAAAGTAAAGGTTAACAAAATAAAACATATACCAGCTCTAATGTTTTAGTACTCCCTCCCAGTCCCAACCATCCTACCTCGGAAAGAGAAAGAGGCATTTTAACAGGGCTCAGCCAGTGTTACTGTGGGTTATCCAGCAGAGACCAGCTACGCACTCACAAGTGTTTCATCCAAACTACAATAACACAGAATAGGGCAGGCTCAACCACAGAGCAAAACAAAGTTATGCTCATATACTTTACTAGAAAAACTGGGCGCTCGTGTTACCAGCGAACCTTACCTTCTCCCCCTCTTAGCCTTTCACCCATTCAGCCTGCTACACCAGAGAGAGGCAGTGGTGGAAAAAGTACTAAATTGTCATACTTGAGTAAAAGTATAGATACCTTAATAGAAAGTTACTCAAGTAAAAGTGAAAGTCACCCAGTAAAATACTACTTGAGTAAAAGTCTAAAAGTATTTGGTTTAAAATATACTTAAGTATCAAAAGTAAAAGTATAAATAATTTCAAATTCCTTATATTAAGCAAAGCAGATGGCACCATTTTCTTGTTTACAAAAGATGCATGTGTGTTTAGTGAGTCCCCCAGACCAGAGGCAGTAGGGATGACCACGTGTTCTCTTGATAAGTGAGTGAATTGGACCATTTTCCTGTCCTGCTAAGCACTCAACATGTAACGAGTACTTTTGGGTGTCAGGGAAAATGTATGGAGTAAAAAGTATATTATTTTCTTTATGAATGTAGTGAAGTAAAAGTAAAAGTTGTCAAAAATATAAATAGTAAAGTCAAGTACAGATACCCCCAAAAAACTACTTAAGTAGTACTTTAAAGTATTTTTACTTAAGTACTTTACACCACTGGAGAGAGGCTGAGCGCTCAGAGCACCTCGACTAGTAACTACAACCTTCAGAGAGGCAGTGATCATGAAGCCTATATTATACTATGTTACAAGTCTCATATGAGTAACAATAAACACAAAGTGGTCATGACTGATAACAACACAGAGAAAACAGACATTCTGTAGACTATGCTCTATCTGTCATAAGCGCTATATGATTCCACTTACTGTAAACCAGTGCAATGATGGACCAAGACTTAAATGGTCACTGTTTGTGCTCCATGGTAATGCTATTAGGAGGAGGAGGAGGAGGAGGAGGAGGAGGAGGAGTGAG